GAACACCTCACCAGGGAGGCGTCCAGGAGGCATCCTAACCAGATGCCCAAGCCACCTCAACTGGCTCCTCTCGATGTGAAGAAGCAGCGGCTCTACTCTGAGTCCCTCCCGGATGACTGAGCTTCTCACCCTATCTCTAAAGGAGAGCCCGGTCACCCTGCGGAGAAAACTCATTTCGGCCGCTTGTATCCGTGATCTCATTCTTTCGGTCACAACCCAAAGCTCATGACCATAGATGAGGGTAGGAACATAGATCGATCGGTAAATTGAGCTTCGCCTTTTGACTCAGCTCTCTCTTCACCACGATGGACCGGTACAGCGCCAGCTTCACTGCCGACACTGCACCTATCCGTCAATCGATCTCACGCTCCATTTTTCCCTCATTCAAGAACAAGACCCCAAGATACTTGAACTCCTCGACTTGGGGCAGGACCTTTTCCCCGACACAGAGAGTGCACTCTCCCCGTTTCCGGCTCAAGACCATAGCCTCAGAAATGGAGGAACTGATCTTCATCCCGGCCGCGTCACATTCAGCTGCGAACTGCTCCAGAGAAAGCTGTAGATCACGACTTGATGAAGCCAATAGGACACATCATCTGCAAAAAACAGAGAAGCGATCTTAAGGCCACCAAAACGGATCCCCTCAACACCTTGGCTGCACCTAGAAATTCTGTCCATAAAAGTTATGAACAGAATCGGTGACAAAGGGCAACCTTGGCAGAGTCCAACTCTCACTGGGAACGAGCCCGACTTACAGCCGGCAATGCGGACCCGGCTCTGACACTGGTCATACAGGGATCTAGCAGCCTGTGTCAAAGGGCCCGGTACCCCATACTCCCAGAGTACCCCCCACAGGGCCCCCCGAGGGACATGATCGAACACCTTCTCCAAGTCCACAAAGCACATGTAGCCCGGTCGGTCAAACTCCCACTCACCCTCCAGGACCCTGCTGAGGGTGTAGAGCTGGTCCAGTGTTCCACAACCAGAACGAAAACCGCACTGCTCCTCCTGAATCTGAGGTTCAACTATCTGACGGACCCTCTTCTTCAAAACCCCCGAATAGACCTTACCAGGGAGGCTTAAGAGTGTGATCCCCCTGTAGTGGGAACACACTCTACGGTCCCCCTTTTTGAATAGGGGGACCACCACCCCAGCCTGCCAATCCAGGGGAACTGCCCCCGATGTCCACGCAATATTGCAGTCGTGTAAGCCAACACAACCCCACAACATCCAGAGCCTTAAGGAACTCAGGGCGAAGCTCATCCACCCCTGGGGCCCTGCCACCGAGGAGCTTTTTAACCACTGAGTCTGTGTAAACACAGTCCATACCAGTTACACAAACGGTGAGGAAAACGTTCAAAGCATTGATTGAAATGTTCAATAGTAAACTTAATTGCACTTTCTCACTGAGTGTTTTTCCAAAGAACAAAACTTCCTCCGACTGAATCACGACAAAACGGAGATAATTGTGTTTGACTCTAAAGAAAAGAGGAGTGCTGTCAGTGAACACCTCAAACCAATGATCGAGTCAGAAATCTTGGCTAGATTCTGACCTGACTTCCAGGTATCCCAGTCAGACCAGGAGAAACTCAGTCCTGATTTTCAATCCAGCAGACTGGATTATTGTAACCAAGAAGTTACAGCTCGTTCAAAATGCTGCAGCTTGGGTTCTGACCAGAACTAAGATACCTGAGCCCATTACTCCAGTGTTAAAGTTTTTACCCTGGCTACCGCTCAGCCCACACTTTTTCATAATGGGAGCTACTTTTAAAATGATTGAAATAAGGCCCTGTTTACACGAAAACAACCTCTGGAAACATTAGTGTTTTTTAAATGTTTATTGGGGGTAATAAACAAAAAATGAACAGGTTTACATGAAAAACACTGTAGTTTCCATGTCCGTCGGGTTGCCAGATAAGAAATTATGAACTATAGTACTGTGGCTTTAAAATGATAGTATTTTGACCTACACTGTCATATGTGCTGAGTAAAGATATTCTAAGATAAGGTGTGTGTTGGGTTTGTTGAACATGTGCATTTACATTTATCTGGCAACCCTGATGCAAGGCTCAGCTGCATTCATCATGCATGCAGTATCTTCATGACAGTGTATTCATCAGTTTGGATTAACTAACATCTTTCTGGATCCTATATTTTATTAGTTTTGCTCTTACATGCTGAAAAAGAGTGAGCAGCATAAAAACACTCTGCTCTCTGACATTTATTATAACTGGTGTTAGTGCAGAAAAACTGCAGCCGCCTGGAGTGCGCATAATGCCTTTGCGATCAACCGGTAGATCACGATTGACATATTGGGCACCCCTGTTCTAAATGGTTTGAGACCAGATGAGTAAACTGTTAATGAAATATGGACCTGGTTCTGAGATGTACAGACTCTGGTCAGACCGTGGAGTTCAGATTTAAACATGATGAATGAGCTGTTCTGCTTCACGCAAACACAACAAATTAATAATAAAACTGAAGTTCGCTCCAAATGGGAAGATTTTTAAATACAGGTGAAACACTTTTCTTTTTCTCCGGGTTAGGATTGAGATCTTTTCCATCTTAATTTAGTTTATTATTTGTTTTTAAATGATTAAATAATTGTTTAATGTTTTATTTATTTTTGTCGTCCTTGTTTTTCTTTTTTAATGTGAAGCACATTGAGTTGACGTGTATGAAACGAGCTGTATAAATAAAGTCTTGTAGTCCCGTTCAGCAGCTCTACCAAACAGGTCATGTTACGGATCATTTCAAAACAGTTCATTGATTTAGTTTTGAGGATCGTAAGTCGTAGTAGACATTTGTGAGGCTGCTACATCATCGTTTTCCTGTTAGTCCTGTCTACATGGAGATACAAAGGAGCTTTTAAAATCTCAGCTTTGTAAAGTGTCACTAAACGGGTGCAAACAAGAGAAGCTGTTTTTAGTTTAAGATTCAAGTTGGTTTCTCATCAGATGACCTTCTGTCCTACAGATAGCATTGAGGCAAACGTGGAGAACGCTGAAGTTCATGTGGAGCGAGGAGCAGAGCAGCTCCAGAGGGCTGCCTACTACCAGGTGGGTCTGTCTCTGGCTGAGTTATGACCCTTTTCCACAGTTCCTCTTCAGCACAGTTCGACTCTGCTCGGTATGGTTCAAACCCTTTTTTTCCACTAGCAATTTTTCGTGGAACCAGCCCGTTTTCCAGGACCTATTTCTCTGCGGTACCAAGGGAGATGAGCCGGCACCAAAACGTGACGTCAGAACACTGTCGGGCACTGATTGGTCAGGGGACGGAGTCACTAGATCTTGCATTCAGCATGAGGGAAGAGATGCCTTTAGCTAGAGCGCCTGTATTGTGTGCCGCTAGCTTAGCGCTATGTCCGGGGGGGAGGGGGGGGTCTTTATAGGTGGGATGCTCAGTTCTGTTGACGGGGTGGGGCACCCCGCTTGTATAATGGTAGGGGAAACACTGATATATATATTTGATCATCATTTTGATCATTTTAATAATCTGTATAAATTTTCACTCTGTATATAAAACCTGTTTCAAGTTTGTCATGGTTTTGACCTAAATCGTTGGTTACGTACTGTAACCCCAGATTCTATGAGTATAGGCGTAGCCCTTTAAGGCCCTCGCTGAACTGCCATCAGCTTGATGTCAGACATGACTGAGTGACAGAGAGGGCAGATAAATCACTCACTCTCTTTGCAGATGTCAAAGCCAACAGCAGGGCTGTTTTAAGTGATAGGAATTTAATCGAAACCTGATCTAACGGCTCGAAAGGAGCTTTGATCAGGGCTTGCAGAACCATCGTTAAGTCCCACTGTGGAGCTAGTGGACGTGACACCGGTCTGTGCCTCCGTACACCTTTTAGAAAACGCTTCATCAGCGGGTGATTAAAAGCTGTTCTGTCACCGAAGCCTTCGTGACAAGAAGAGATGGCTGCAGCGTACGTTTTAATTGTGCTGAACGCCAGATTTCTGTCCATCAGCTGCTGCAGAAAGGACAGCACGCCACCTAGTGGACATGAGATGGCCTCTACACCTTTCTCCGTACACCAGCGCTGATGGTGTACGGAGTGCGGCTTCATCAGGTGGCGCACAGTCTCCGACACCTCCTCCGACTTCTTCGATTTTTCAAGCATGGCCTTAAAATTGGCTCCGAACAGCGCGTCCGTCGTGATGGGGCCCTCCAGCAGGTCTTTCTGCAGTTTCTCTGGCAAGGAGGGGGAGTGTCGGAGCCAGGTGGACCTCTGGATCATTGTCATCCAGGCGGCATTGCGAGACAGGCAGACAGCAGAGGAGGCGCACAGGTTGAGGACGATGTTGGATGCCTTGCAGAGCAAGCTCTTTGTCTCCTCAGGCAGGTCTGTTTCCTCCAGCCTCTTGAAGATGCTGTAGGCCAGCAGAGCGACATTGTTGTTCACTGCAGCTGCCTGGAACACACACTGGTGGGGTCGGTTGGAGAGTGACGTCACCGTCTGGTCGTGTCTCCCTGGAGGAACAGGATGCTGGTCCAACCTGGACAGTTTTGCTCCAAGTGCTTCCACCAGGCTTGGCTACAGGGGGGTTAACGATGGAAAATTCCACTCAGTAAACCAATACACTCTGGGAGCAAAGGTGGAGACGGGCGCTCTCAATTTACCAGGTCCGGCTGCAGCCTTGTTCCAGTAGGACGTCACTGCTGGGAAACGAGGCCAGATGGGGTCAGGGCGGCGAGCCAGGGTGGAGCCAAACCTTCCTGTTAGATCATCCGATCTGGGCGGGGGGAGAAGAGGGACGGAAAGTCCCTCATGTCAGCCGCCTCCTGGATTATGCCGGGCAGCTCAGAGAGGAGGGCATCGACGACTGGGAGCGGTGTGGTCACTGATGCGGAAAGGCCCGGGGTGGAATGGGTAGCATCCGCTTGGCCAAGCTCCCCCGTTCCAACACTACGCTCTTTGGGAGGGAATGAGCATCGGGGCTGCTGCTGACGTCGCCTGTCCTGGAGGAACCATCCGATTTGCTCCGAGACTCGGCGTCAAAAAAGGCGATGGCGTCGTCCAGCGAACAGTCCCCCGCCACGGAGAGGCACTCCTCGACATCAGTCTTGAACAAGCCTGCTCGCCTCTGCCTCTCCTCAGGAGGGAGGTCACAGAGACGGCAGGAGGAGGCGAGGTCGGCGTGGCTGGGACCCAGGCATCCTTCGCAGGTGTCGTGCTGGTCAAAACTCAGCATGCAGCCGGTCTTGCAGGACCGGCACAGGCGGATGGTGTTGGTGCTGGACATCGCATTCTTGGAAGATCAGTACTGGTTGCTTACTGAAGAAAAATGTGAGGCGATTACCCACTCTCAACGTAATTTATACGGATCGGGTGGGGCCCACATGACAGGTGGGCGTGGACTAAAGTTTTCAGTGCTACGCTTTGCGTGACGGGATAAAACCCACTAGCGAGGGCCTTAAAGGGCTACGCCTATACAAAATAGAACCAGATTTGATCCAATCCGTGGGTGTGTGACAGTAATAATCTGACATGAATTATGTTTTATCTGGACAAGTTCTGAAGCTTCCAGGTTAACCCTTTTATTGTTTAACTTTATGACCATTCATGACGCTTAGGGAAAAATCAACCACCTTATTTAACTGCATAAAATACTGTTTATTTTATTTTATTCACAAAAATAAAACTAGTTGGTCTTTAAAAGAGAGTTAACTCTTCCTGAACACATCAAATTTAAATGACTTATTTTAACTCTTCAGGCCATTTTTATTATTATAATTCCATCCATCCATCCAGTTTGGTAAATAACAAAAGTAAAGTGTCATAACAAAAGTCAAGATATTTTTAATACATCTTTATTGTCAACATCTATACTGAAATGATACATCGATGGTTTAGGACAGGGAAGGTACCAGCCACTCTCTTCTTTAATGGCACACATTGTATGCTGTCGCTCCAGAGCTGGATGGAAACAGACTGTAGGTCTGCTGCGATTATTTTGTTGGAGAATCATCTGAAACACAAACACAGCATATGTATTGCTAAACCATATTTAATCGACATTTACATACTTTTAACGCTCGGCTCCCACTAGATATAGCAGTTTAGCATTAGCTTACCCTCACACGTCGTTTAACTTGCATCCTTATGTCTTCCCACACTCTCCTGTACTTCTCCAGAGTCTTTCTCCTCGCTGCCCGCAGCCTTTTCTGGATCTCTTCTCTTTGACGTTTGACAAAAAGCCACAGACTGAGCAGAATGTTCAACAAAGCTACGAGATCCTCCATTTTGGTTGTGTATCTTTTCAGGGTCTTCTTCTAATACTTTAGTGGTGGCTAGTAAATAGCTTAATGCAGCACTACTGCCACCAGCTGGTAAGGCAAGTTGGATTCTGGACCCTCCCAGTAGAAGCGGTACTGAACTGCATATAGAACAGCAACATGTACCGAGCTGAACTGTCCTGAGCAGTCACTATGGAAAAGGGGATTTATTCTGTCATGAAGCGCCTTCCTGTCAGTAACGTCTTGTCTCTACATTCTCTTCCCACAGCAAAAGTCCAGGAAGAAGATGTGCATCCTCGCCTTAGTTTTCTCCATCGCACTTGCCATACTTATCGCCATCATCGTCTGGTTGTCTAAGTGAGCCAGAATTAAAATGTTCCTTTTTATTTTGTCCCATCCCAACAACGAGAACCTGCCTGGAATCACAAACTTAACAAAAAAAAAAAAAGAACAAAAATCAGATCTCTGTAACAAAATCTGCAACATTGATCCTCGGAGGGTTTGTTGGTTTGAACATCTTGAAGTCAAAAGTCTGCTGATCTGTAAGAAGCTCCAGTGGTGGAATGAAGTGGTGTAAAGGAGCAATTAGCTTTTTCAAATTCCTGACATTTCCCCACTTCTTATTTCTCATTTCCTGCACTAACACTTGCTGTCATTGTATTTCAAATGTAAATATAAATTCCTGTGAATAACTTAAAGATGTGCAGCTTGTACTCTGTAATGTTTGTTTTTTGGATCAGTAACTTGGTAGAACCACAGGTCATGTCGTTTCTCTGTCCCCTCGCTGTGCTGCAGCAGGGTGGGTGGTGGGATGTTCAACGCTTCACACATTAACTAGAAAAGTACATTTCAATGAATACTCTAATGAACATATGCATATTATATGATAAATTCTGAAATGTTTTAAGTTTATTTCTATGACTCTTGACAGTATATGCACAATAAATGTCTTAAGCACTCGGTCTCCTTTGAAGGTTTTTTTTTCTAATCTTTTCGCAACAAACTCACCTGTTTGTTGTAAATGTTCAGACGTGTTGCCCTAAAAGTTTCAGTGGATTAAAAAGTATTCACTCCCATTTGTAATCTAACTGGTTGCTCAGCAACTTGGACTTATTGTAATTTAAATTTGATTATAGGTGATCATTGTAAAAAAACGTTTCATTAATGAGGTTAAATAGGTTTAAAAAAAAAACAAAAAACGCCACCAGTGCTTAATTTGAGCCGGAGACTGGCGGAACAGGATCCGAGGGTGCTATTCCAGTAAATGCTTGGATCCAGTAACTCAGGCTTTTTAATAATAAAGTTATGAACAAATACGACTGCCTTGAACAAATACAACAGCCACTTATGGATGGACCTTAATAAATGAATGATGTGGGTTCTGAAGGTACAAGTATGCACTGTGCACATATGCAGTGGTCCAGTGCGTAACAACGAGGTAATGAGACCCTCTGACTCAGTGAGAGGAGTCCACTCTGGAAAGGTCTCAGGGAGGACTAAAACGGAGATCCTGGGAGGACCAGCCAGCTCCACACAGAGGGGCCTCAGCTGAAACTCAAACTGGACTTGTGGTCTGACAATACTAACCTTTAGTGACCGATAACCAAGTTGTGTACGGAGCCCCCGAGGGGACATTTAAGGAAAATAAATCAGCGAAGCGCCTGCTGTGACATGAAGTTTTCTCTAAATGGTTTGAGTGACCCTCTTTGACCCTTTACAGCTTGATGAGCAGCTACAGCTACTTCTCAGGTCATTGCTGATGTCTTCTCGTCTTGGTGCTGTGTTAATGCCATTTTGGATTCACTTTTGTTGAATAAACAAGAAAATGTGGAGTCTGTTTTTGTTTACCTGGGGTTGGACTTTAATCATCTTAGAACCTGCTGAAGATTGGATCGGGTTTAGTAATTCTGTCCTCGTACACGGCAGCGCCCTGACACAGAGGTGACTTTACAGCTGGTTGTTCTTTGTCACAGTAAACTGTCGGTGAGTCCAGCAGAGCGCAGCAGAGAGCAGGAACAACTGAACAGGTGGTCAATGAATGGATTATCATCATCAAGCTGATCCAGTGGAGAGTGCTTGAAACCAACCAAAAGAATACATACATTCAACATGGTGCAGGTGGACCCTGAACGCATCAGCCTGCTTAGAAATGGATTATTGTTTAATTTAGGAATGGACAACTGGGTGTGTGCAAACAAACATTAGCTTGAGGACGATGTGGACGGCTCTGTTTCGTGTCTCATTTCTTCTTATAGGAATAAATTAATCCTGTTCACTGGTTTAAAACTGGACAAATGTTATTATTTAAATATGCTTCTCGATACTCAAACTTTCAAAAGGTGATCGAGGCAAGACAAATGCTATATGAGATACTGCACTCCTAAAATTAACCAAAAATAAGATGTCAATGTCATCCATTCCCTTTGAAACGGTCATAAATGATTTGATTATGATGTAGAACAGATACGGAGAGAATAAAGTTTTTAGCAGGCTTTCTCACTGAGATGAGCTCATTTTATTTATACTAGCAAACTGCAACCAAATATAGTTAGAGTATATGTTTTAAATGGTACAGAATATTCAGATTGTAGTAAAAGTACAGTAACTTAAAAAAAAATGTTTTAATCGATTAAATTAACCTTGTTACAGAAAAATAAAGCTTTTTATTGTCTGGTATCAAAGGTCCAAGAACAATTAAGAGAAATATTTAAAATGTGTCTTTGTTGCTTTTAATAGCCGCTTAAAATATTTTCACACACCGTTAGTTGTTGTAGGTACTGAACAGGATTTTAATACATTTAAATAATAAATATAACCATCTCACCTGCTTTTGTAAAGATTGTTTTCATGCAATGATTTTGATGCGTTTATTTAAGGTTTCCGTAAATTAATATTTTTAGTTTAAAGTAAATGTAAATTATAACCCCAGTTTTGAAAAAGTGGTACATTGTATTTAAGAAAACATGCACAATGCAATGATTTGTAAATCTCATAAACTCTTATGTACACTGGAACTAAAAAACAAGCTTTTTTTTTGGGGGGGGGGGGGG